AAGCACAGCACCGCCGCCGGCAGTCATCACCGCCACGGACAAATCAGAAAAAACCAATCTGGCCCATGCCGCCTGGAAAGCCGTGGATGGACAGATCCAATCATGTTTGATTGCGGTCCTCTCTCCCACGGTTCAGAAACACGTCCGATCCTACACAACTGCTTCAGCCTTGTGGACGGCCCTCGCAACACGCTATACATCAATTTCCCACTCTCATATTTTTCAATTGTGTGATCGTCTCCACACAATTACCATAGGCACGAAAACTATGGCGGAGTATTTAGACGAGGTCTCCACAATCATCACAGCCCTCGACACCGTGAATGATATCATTCCCGAAAAATATCTCGTCATGTGCGTCGTTCGAGGGATCCCATAAGCTTACTCCTCCATTAAACAGGCGGATCGCATCAGTCCGACGCCTGTTGACCTGGCTACTCTCTCCTCGTGGCTAAAAAGTGAAGAAATCAACGTGGACCTGGAGAGCAAACTTCTTCTCCGAGAAGCCGCTGTCATGGAGCCAGCCACCGCCCTCACCGCAAGCCAGAACTATTGCGGGGGGCGTGGTGGCGGCCGGCAGGAGAGCCGCGGTGGCTACGGCAGAAACAGTGGAGGCTGCGGGCACGACGGTCGGCAGGGCAGTCGTCCACGTACGACGGTCATCAGCACGGCAGCAATAACAGCCTGCACTCTTTCGGCAGCAGCGGGCAGTCATCTTCCAGCGGCGGGCAGGGCATTTACGAGCGGGATCGTCCAACTTGTCAAATCTGTCTGAAAACATGACACACTGCTGTTCGTTGCTGGTTTCGGTATGAGGAGAGCTGAAATAGTGATAAACGTGCCAATTATGCATCTCAAGCCGGCCCTTCCTCTGAATAGCTGTTGGATACTGGGGCCAACATGCACGTTACTTGTGATCTATCCAAGCTTAACGCTCCAAATCCATATCATGGCTCCAATGGTATTACTGTTGTCAACGGTGAGTCCCTTAATATTTCTCACACTGGCACGGGTACCATTAAAACCACCACCGCTATCTTTCACCTAGGTAATCTTACCCACGTCCCTTCTATTAAAACCAATCTCCTTTCAGTTCACCAATTCACAAAAGACAATAATTACTCACTCTTGTTCACCTCTAATGATTTTCAGATCCTAGACAAAACTACCAAGAGGGTGATTTTTCAGGGGCCCTGTGAGCATGGTCTGTACGTTCTTCTTGGCACAAGTTCGTCTGCCCACCCAATTTCAGAAAGCGTTTCTGTGGCTCCGGTGGCTCTTTCAGCTGATGGCCACAGTCTGTTGTGGCACAGTCGTCTGGGTCACCCGTCTACTCAAATAATAAATTCTTTAATGTCTCAATTAGGTTTTTCTTCCATTCATGTAAACAATTGTAACTCCTGTTCAATTGCTAAATCTCATAAATTACCTTTTACTTTATCTGAGAAGCGTACAACTGCACCTTTTCAACTTATTCATTCTGACCTATGGGGTCCTACTGCTGTTCCTTCATTTGCTGGTTTTCGCTATTATATTTGTTTTGTGGATGATTTTAAAAAATACACTTGGTTGTACCCACTAAAACACAAATCACATGCATACACCACCTTTGTCACTTTTGAAAAAATGGTCAAAACACAATTCAATTCTCATGTTAAACTTTTTCGAAGTGACAATGGAAAGGAATATGTCAATAACATCTTTGGCCAGTTTCTGCAATCCCTGGGAATTATACATCAAACCTCCAGTCCATACACTCCCGAACAGAATGGGGTGGCTGAGCGTAAGCATCGCCATCTCATTGAAACGGTGGTTACTCCTCTACATCTATCTCATCTCCATGTCTCCTTTTGGGTAGAAGCTCTAGCAACCGCAAACTACCTCATTAACAGAATGCCCAGTCACACTCTCTCCAACAAATCACCCTATCAACTCCTTTACCAAGAACTTCCCAATTATACCAATCTCCGCGTCTTTGGGTGTCTTGCCTACCCTTGGATACGCCCTCGTATTACTCACAAATTACAAGCCCGATCCCGTCCTTGTATTTTTTTGGGCTATCATCCTACCTCCAAGGGTTATCGCTGTCTTGACCCACAACCTCATAAAGTCTATATATCTCGTCATGTCAAATTTGTCGAAAATGAGTTTCCCTACGAGTCTATTTCCTCCTTCATAAATACATCATTCATTGGCGTACTTCCCCTTTTTCCAACATACTCACATTGTCCTTCACCATCTTCCCCCACACCTCCACCCACTACCCCACCACCCCTCATCACCCCTTCGACCGTCACTCACAATACACCCGCAACCACCACCCACACTCACAATTAACCCGAACCACCCCATACCCACAACATCTCCAGCCCGATCCGTTTTGGGTCCTTCCCGGCCACCCCCGAATAACCACCGCCCGTGCCACCCCCTAATACTCATCTCATGTTAACCCGTGGCAAAGCCGGTATCTTTAAACCCAAAACCTTTCAGGCTACCATACTACCAAATATACCCCTTCCCGATAATGAACCAACAACCTACTCTGTTGCCTCAAAAAATGCTTATTGGCGTCATGCTATGGATGACGAGTTTAAGGCTTTGACTGATAAAAAAACTTGGGTTCTTGTACCTAAGCCCCATGGGTGGCACCCAGTGGGTTGTAAATGTGTGTACAAAATTAAACACAATGTAGATGACAGTATTTCCAGGTACAAGGTTCGTTTGGTTGGTAAAGGCTACAATCAGGAGTATGGTCTTTGATTAATCCGAGACATTCAGTCCTGTTATTCGGCAGGAAACCATTTTCCTTGTACTGTCACTCGCCGTGCGCAACAATTGGCTCATCAATCAGTTGGATGTTTCCAATGTTTTTCTTCATGGCCTACTTGATGAAACTATCTACATGACGCAACCACCGGGCTATGTTGATCCCCGCTTCCCTCAACATGTTTGCAAACTTCAGAAGTCTCTGTATGGGCTAAAGAAATCCCCCTTTCTTGGTACACACGTCTGAGAACGTTCCTCCAGGGACTCGGCTTCACGTGTTGCGTACACGACACGAGTCTGTTTACTCGACATTCAGCACACGGTACAGTCGTTCTTCTTGTCTATGTAGATGATATCATTATTACAGGCTCTACTGCAGCTCTCATTCAGGATGTTACTCGAACTATGCATACTACCTTCAAAATGAAGGACCTTGGCCCGTTACATTATTTTCTGGGAATGGAGGTCTCTCGGACAGGCAGCGGCTTGTTTCTTCATCAGTCAAAATATACTCGAGATGTGTTGCAGAAAGCTGGACTGGAAAAATGCACCAGTCAACCAACACCGATAGCAGTCTCTTCGTCTACGAATGGAGTCGACACCCCCATTGCGGATATCACCCACTTCCGCAGCCTCATTGGGGCTCTATAGTATCAGGCCATTACCCGTCCTGACATCCTGTTTGTTGTTAACCGAGTTGCTCAGCGCATGCATTAACAAAGTGAACATGATTACCATTGTCTAAAACGCATTCTCAGGTACATTTTTGGCACTCTTGGTCGTGGTTTACTCATTCGACCGGGGGACTTGGAGCTTCGGGGTTTCTCCGATTCAGATTGGGCGAATGATAAAAATGACATAAAATCTACATCGGGGTTTCTCGTTTTTTGGGGCCGAACCTGATCTCCTGGTGTACAAAAAAACAACCCAAGGTCTCTCGGTCCTCGACTGAAGCTGAATACCGCGCCCTTGCTCTTCTTGCTGCTGAGACCAAGTGGGTCACATATATTCGTCGCGGACTCCGCGCCACTCACACTGTTCCCGCTCTCTATTGTGACAACAAATCAACCATCTGTGTGGCCAAGAATTTCGTCCTACACACCAGAATGAAGCATGTTGATACCGATTGTCTCTTTGTTCGCGATGAAGTTCAGGCCGACACCATGACTGTGCAGTATGTACCCACTGAAGAACAACCGGCTGATATTCTCACCAAGCCTCTCCCGAGCCGACAGCACGATTACCTCAGTTCCAAGCTTCCGTTCTCTTTCGTTCAGCTCAGCTTGAGGGGGGATAATAACAGATAGTATTAAATAAATAGTATTAAATAATATTAGTATTTACTGTGTACTAATCCTAGTCCTATTAGGATTAGCACTCCTTAATCCTAGTCCTATTAGGATTAGTACTCCTTCATATATATCCTATATATATCTCCCATGTATTCCCTTATTAGGTTAACACTTCAATACAATCAATATTCCTTCACATACATTACCCAACTAATAGGTTTTTTGATGGTTTGTGTTCATTAGTACCCTTCACCGGTGTTGTTTTATTTATTGTTTACGGTATTATTTGTGAATGGACAAACATGTATGGTTTTACTTTATTGTACACCACAAAATTTTGATGCTTACACTTTGGTTTTGCTTTATTGTATGGTGTTCATGAAGATTGCTTTCTTGGTTCTTCATGTGCAATAAAATACTTTGTATACCTGTACGACCTCCCCAAAACAAAAAAGGGGGGATGGGGGATGAAATATTTTTTTGTTGACCACTTTTGTATGGCATGAGATATTTTTATTACTTATTCTAGCTGAAGTTGAGCTGGAACATATATATTCGTGCTTAGGTATTATTCGCCCAGCTTATGGAGACAACATATACGACCATTTCTTTCATCTTCTATCATAGTTCCCATTTTCCTGTCCATTTCAATTAACTATTTTTTCATATGTTTCCTTTAAATTAGCGACATCAAAATACTGCCATTTAGATATTATGCATGCTTTCCCAGCGAGCTTTGGCTTTAAACGAGACACTCTGAGCATTATTTCTAACCTTTTTTTTGTTAGAAACTGTTACTAAAACCTATGGGATCCCAAATGGATATCAAAAGTTTTTGGGGTAACGTTCATCTGAGACTTAGTAGGTAGTATCCATTCGGATAGGTATAAAAATATTAATCCGGTCTATTTTTTTCATTGTTTACCAGATGACAAGTGTTTATACTTTGGAATTAATGATTGTAGATAAGAAACTCTCAAGAATTTTTTGGTACCATGAGTTATGCACTCCTCTAGGGTGGATGAGGACTCTCATAAATGAATTGATTCTTGAAATCGATGTAAAACAGAGCAGTCTCACAAGGAAGAAGAAGTCATACAACTCTTCCATTTTACCATGGAAAGAAGTTCTTTACTGTGAGTGATTCTTCAAGAAATGAAGCAGGAAATAATAATATTAAGAAAATTCATGATGTGTCATTCATGCCAGGTAATTTGTCTTTTGTGCTTACTTGTGTTATTTCTTTTGTTGACCTTCCCACGAGCTTCTGACAGGAAGTTTGTGCTAATAATTAAAGGTCATTTTCCATCATTCATAAACTAGAGGTACATTAAGACTACATCATTCTACAGAAGCTATCTTGTCGGAGCTTTCACGACAGTCATGAGTCATTCCATCAATGTGATCAATCATCAACCCATGACGGCGTATTTTCTTATGGAAGGTAATGTTATAAAATTTCTTAGAAGGGTGAGGTTTTCTTGTGATATTACTTACTCACATGACTTGATGTATCTCCCTTGAGGCCAAGTGTGAAAATTGAACTTGTCAACATCTAAAATAGAAAATTACAAGCTCGAGGGGAGTGTGCAAGTACGCACAATGTGGCGTCAAAAGAAGGTAAATTATTCATGCATTTTGTTCTTGACCTGAATAGGTGATGAATCTTTTTACTGTATGTTTCAATCATACAATTCTTCCATTTTACCAAGGCAAGAAGAAGTTTCTTAGTTTCTTAGATATTATGGGGAAGTGCTTCTAAAACGCATGATTATGAGTCCAGATTCCTCTGTCACATCAAACGTTCAAGTCTATCAATTGATTTCTCTCTTTCTTATTACACATTCGGTATGAACTGGAAATCCAGAAACGATGCACACCCCTTACGTATTGTGGTTTCACGTTGCTTTTAATGCATTTTTCTTAATAGTTGTGAGTCTAAAACCCTTTTTAAATCATTTTTAACAAGGTTTATGTTTCATTTTACAGGAATGATGTCCAGGTTTAAAACTCATAAGGTAGGCGAAAATAATGTAGAAGATGACCTACGAAGGCCATCAAGGATCCATAGGTGGTGACCGTCGAAGTGCAGTTCAGGCTGATGGAGAAGATCGGAGAAATCTAACTAAGTGTGGAACCATAAGAGCAAAACAACTAAATGAATGTCTGTCGATTGATCTATGCACCGTACTGGTGAACCATCAATTGGTTCAGAGAGGTTCCAGTACTTGACTTCTTCAATATTCTAAGTGTGGATCAATGGAGGCGCATCGACGGGGTGTATATTGATCGACGGACCATACTGTTGGTCTGTTGTTTGATTCACAGAAGGTGTTATTCGGTGAAGAAAAGATAATTCCAAGTATGGACTGACGAAAGCAGACGACGGACCGTCGTTCCATCAACGGTTCGTTAGTGGGGTCATCAATTGAAGTCGCGTTTATGGGAAGAACTTTTCTTATTTCAATTCTTTTTTCTATAGAACAATATTTTCTACAAATAGGGAATTAAAGCCTCATTTTGGGAGTTAACTACTCTTTTTATTATTCAAATTTGTGTTAGATATTGTTGCTTGTAAACTTTGGGTAATTAATCAATTCTCGTATTTGGCTTTTCGGATTATCTTGCAATTTCAAGTTGATTTTCTGGGTTTCTTCTTATTGTTAAGTAAGTTTATGAATTCTTTATTCAATATTATGAATTGTGATCTTTCTTGCATGGGTAATTAAATCCACAACTAGGGTTGTGAGAACCATGGGTAATTAACAAAGTAATCCTAGAAACTAAGCAATTCTCAAATAGTGTTTTTGCATGTATTAATTATTCTTTCGTTTAGAAGTCTTTTTAATGGTGGTCGATGTTAGAATTCTCCTTATTGCTACTTGGCGGACCAAGGAGGTTTTTAATAAGAAAAGAAATATCAACATTGATTTAGTGGGATACTATCTAATAGGCTAGTGTCGATTGGGGCAAAGTAAGAACTGAGTCATACATCAATTATGATGTCTAATATGAGGGAAGGGTAAGGGTTATTAACTAAAACAGACATAGCCAGACCAAGGTACGGGGTGAAATTCTCTAGATGTTGGACTAAGGATATAGAGATACATAACTTACCACTTTACATGCAAAACACTAGGAAAGAATTGTTATTGCTAGGAATACGATTTTATGAACCTGTAGGGAACATATATACCCTAGTTAGTCTCACAACTTGATAAAAACTCAATTACTTTTGCTTACTTGTTAACTTAGATTGTTTAAGGAACTTGTTTCATAAAAACCCCCTTCAATTACTTGCTTTCGGAAGTACATTGGCTAAATTGACGTAATAGTGACTTGAAGTTAAGTCTAAAAATTTTCCCTGTGGGATCGACCCCAACCTACTAGTTGGGTTCTTTACTTGATTACGATCGATTATACTTCTTTAGGGAGGTGTAATTTGAGCATATCAAATTTTGGCGCCGCTTCTGGGGAATCTAGATTTTAGATTAACTTCAGCTACATTATTGAAATTTAATCAACAATATCCTGATTTTATCTTCTCTTTTTGTATTTGTTTCTTTTAGGTCTAGCTCTAGTGTATGGCAAGTACACAAAGCCGAAGAGAACCACTTATTCCATTCAATCACGAACTGAACCACACATTGAGAACGATGGAAAATCAATAGAACCCAACAAATCAAGTTGATGGGGCATTCCATTAACCTCTATTACCGGTTGAAGCACACAATGAAGTTTGTGTTGAGATTCAATTGGACGATGCTTTGCGGATGCAACTTGTAATGCCACAACCTAATGATTATTATAGGGGAAACGTGAACATCATAGATTCTGATGGACCTCTTGTCCTAATTTTTCTACCCTATGGGTATATATACATGGTGACGAGCAGCCTAATGCAGAAGCTCACCGCAAAGGGCTTATTTGCAGGACTGCCATCAGAGGACCCACATGCTCATATAGCAAAATTGAGGTCTATGTGCAAGAGTTTTGTAGGTAGACCGAACTTGCATATGAATGTCATTGGGTTGTAAGTGTTTCCTCTTTAATTGACAGGAGATGCCGCCATATGGTTCACTTAGTTTCCCTAAAACTCCATTCATACTTGGGATCTGTTTAGAGATGTTCTTGGCAATGTACTAACCATTGTCTAAGAAGCTTAACCACAAATATAAAGGGAATAACTTTGTAGCAATATCAGGAGAGTCGATGAGTAGCTCTTGAGACAGATTTACAGCCTTTGTTGGAGGTGTCCCGAAGCATCACATTGATAAAGAGTAATTGAAATTGTACTTCTACAAAGGTCAAGATAATAACAACAAGGCATTGATAGATACTATTGCAGGTGGCTCTTATTAGGAATACACTTTTTCTAAGACTGCAGAGAAGTTGGAGAAGATATCTCTCAACGACAAGGCTTGGAGCACTAGAAAGTCAGACACTAGGAGAAACACCTTTGCGGTTCACGCTACAAACAATCCACAACAGATGAGATATGCAAAAATTTTGCACAGATGAGAACTTAGCTAGGGTTGGTTTTGAAATACGTGAGCGGAGGTGCAGACAAGGTAAATGTGGTGAATTATTTAACTAAACCACCACCACAGGTAGATGAGAACCATAACTAAGAGGATGCCTATCAAATAAATAATTATACGAGAGGTTTTCGACCAAACTTCCAAAGCTACAATTAAGAGAATTGGTGACAATGTCGAGGAGACCAAGGTTCGAACTATGGTAATTACAATTGAGAAGGTCAATTTGTCCAAGAGGGGAAATACAACCGGGATAACAAATTCAACCGGAATACCTATGGTAACAAAAATGATAGGGGTGGGTTTTAGGATCGAATCAACGCACACGCACTTGAATAATGAATAACACAAGAACTTTCAAGAGAAAGAGATGAGAGATCTAGAGAGAGAATGAGAGAAAACAATATTTTGTTGTAACACCCTGTGAGTAAACATCCACGATAGTGGGGTATATATATTAATAAATCAGATTATTTTAGGTTAAACCACGTAAACAGTAATATGTGACAATATATCAAATATTAATCAGGCTCTATAACCTAACAGTAGGCCCTATATTCCCCCTCAAAATCGGGAAGTTGCTCCAAGGGATGGTGGAGTTATTATGGTAAGAGTTGAGGATATGCTACATAAGATGATGAGGAGGTTTAATGTTAGTGATTAGAATGTCAAGGACATGAGAGATGAGTAGCTAACATTGGACAAAAGATGGATGCACATGCAGTCTCGATTAAGCACCTTGAGTTACAGATGACTCAGTCGTCTACTACTGTAAGCCCTACCCCCTGGCACTCTTCCTAGAAACACTATCCAAAATCCTAAAAATAAAGGGCATTGCATAACAGTCACTACTCGAGGAAGAAACATACCAATGATCCACCTATGTGGTCTGTAGTAGAAGCTGATACGAGAAGAGACAAAGAGGTAGTAGAAAATAGTGGAGAGTTTGTGGAGAACACAGTGAAAGAAGTAGAGATTTCTCAGAAGGTGGTCCCATTCCTATACCACAACCATAATTCCTACTAGAGATTAGTTAAAAAGACTGAATATGGTAAATGTCGGCGATTTATCACTATGTTGAAACAACTTTCCATTAATGTCCCTTTGATATAAGGTTTTGAAAAACTGCCCCGTTATGCTAAGTTTATGAAGGATATGGTGACAAAGAAGAGATCAGAAAGTTTCGAGGATGATGACAGAATGCAACATTGTAGTGCCATTTCTACAAGATTTCTTATGCAGAAAAAGGAAAATCCTAGCGCTTTTACTATTCTATGTATTATAGGGTTGTTTTACTTTGTTAAGGCACTATGTGATCTTGGTTCTAGCATAAACCTCATGCTTTTGTCCATTTATAATAAGTTAGACTTGGATGACCCAAAGCGTACTACGATGCGGTTATTGATGGTCGATCGAACTGTGATGAGTCCCATTGGTATACTCCATGATGTGTTTGTGAAAGTGGAGCAATTTATATTTTCGGTTGATTTTGTGATTCTTGATTGTGAAGTTGATTTTGTGTTGTCCATCATTCTAAAGAGGCCATTCCTTGCCACCGGGCGTGCACTGGTTGATATGAAAAAAGGACGGATGAAGTTTAGGTTGAACAATGAAAAATGTATTTTTAAAGTATGAGGTCCATGAAGCAGAGTGCTGAGCTCCAAATGGTATCTGCTATATCATATATGGTTGACAACATATCTGAGGTGCAAATTTAAGATCGAATAGGTGTCGGGTGACTAGCGACAGTGATCATGAATTTTTACAGTGACGGTATTCAATAGTATGGAATTTTGGTGGTTGCGCTTAAACAAAACGAATATCAGTCAAGACCAAAGAAATTGGAGTTGGATATGAAGCATCATGACTCTCTGCCCGAGATACCATCTATTGAGGAGCTCCTAAAATTAGAGCTTAAGACTCTACCACCTCATCTGAGGTATTTGCTCTTAGGTAGAGATGACACTTTGTGGGTATTAATTGTGTCGGATTTGAATGGTACACAAGTAGAATGCTTAGTGGCAGTATTTAATAGGTTTAAAATAGCTATTGGTTGGACTATTGCAGACATTATTGGGATTCCTCCCGGCATTCGCTCCCATAAGATCCAACTCATGCCCGATCACAAACCAAGTATTGAGCACCAAAGAAGGTTGAATCCACCTATGCATGAGGTAGTGAAAAAAGAGATCATCAAGTGGTTGGATGTTGGAATCATTTATCCTATTACAAACAGTAGTTATGTGTGTCGTGTCCAATGTGTACCTAAAAGGGTGGGATGATAGTGGTGACTAAAGAGAGGAACAAAGTTGTCCCAATGAGGCTAGTGCCCGAATGGAGAGTTTTCATGGACTATGGGAAGTTAAATTTGTGGGCAGAAAAGTACCATTTCCCCATGCCCTTTATGGATTAGATGCTAGACAGACTCACAACAAAAGGGTAAGTATTGTTTTTTTAATGTCTATTCGGGCTATAATTATATCTCTATCGCTCCAAAAGACCAAGAAAAACAATATTCACTTGCTCCTATGCTACTTTTGCATTCAAAAGGATATTGTTTGGGTTATGTAATGCATCGGAGACCTTCCAATATTTTATGATGTCGATATTCTATGATATTGTGTAGGACATGATTGAGGTGTTCAAGGATGATTTTTTGGTAGGGGGAGATTCTTTCGATCGGTTTTTGAGTAATTTAGCCGAGATGCTCAGGAGGTGTGAACATTGTATTTTGGTGCTAAATTGGGAGAAGTGTCACTTTATGGTGAAAGAAGGCATTGTGTTGGGCCATCACATCTCTGAAAAGGGGATAGAGATTGATCAAGATAAAGTGGAAGTAATAAAAAAGCTTCCTTCACCCATATCTATTAAGGAAGTGAGAATTTTCCTTGGGCATGTTGGTTTTTATATGAAGAATTTTTTAAAATTGCACATCCTTTGTGCAAACTTCTAGAAAAGGAATGTAAGTTATGTTTCGATGAATCATGGTTGAAGGCGTTTGGAGAGTTGAAGGAGAAGATGGTATCT